GGAGGTTGTGACGCGTGCTGTGGATCAGCTGGCCACAAAATAAGCAGAATGATCCTCGTCAAAGCAAGCTAGACGAGAGATTCCTGCAGCACCATTCGCAACCTCAGCGCCAGGGCTTATCGTTTTTCCCGGATCTTCATAAAAAGACATTACTGAGTTGAGAAGAGCCACAGATTTGTCTCTCCGGGCCACTAAAGAGACGGCACGCGCTACCGGCCGCTCTATGTCAGCTATGGTGGCCACAGAGGGACATCTGTGGCTGAATTTGTCTGGTATAAAGGATAAGGACAAATCTTTTCTGTTGGACGCTCCGCTATCGCCTTCTGGCCTGTTCGGCGACGCAGTTACTACTGTCGTCGACAGGTTTCAGGAGGCGAAAAAGCAGTCAGCAGCGTTCCAACAGTATCTCCCTCATTGCTCTAAATCTGGGTCTAGGAGGGCTGGTCCAAGTGGCCAGCCTCAGCCGTCAACCAGCTCCTCCCATCGCCAAGAGCAGAAAGAGAGTGTTGCCTCTAGAGCCCCTCCTGCGGGAGCTTGGCAACAGAGGAAACGCTCTCACTCGAAGTCCTCCAACCAGAAGGGTGACCTGAGGGCCGTCATTCAGGCGAAGAGGGCTTCGGGGAAAGAGGTCCTAACCGAAGTGGTAGGACCTCTGAGTGGTAGGACCTTTATGTTCAGTGGACATTACAAAGGAATGTCATATGGTTTTATCATTTGCAGTCTGATGTGAGAAGGAGGAACTTCTCTGAAATGTATGTATGTTTATACACCTGAAGTGCAGGAGCAAGACACTCTACACCAGATGGGCAAGGACCTCTGACCTCTGAGGTCAGAAGGTCATCTAGTTAAGGGGGGCTTAAAGGGTTAGTTAAATCAAAGCTAGCAGTAAAGGGCCTTTTGTCTGTGGAAAACTACTGGGAAGCTCTGCAGGGAAAAGGACCTTGAAGAGCAGTATAAAGATTGCCCAATTCTTCCTGTCTGTGTCTCACTCACTCCACAGGGTACATCACAGTCACTGTGTGTAGTTTTTAAAGCGTAAACTAAATACCTATTAATTTGCATTCCATGGACTCAGAGATGGATCATCTTCATTCTTGTTTTTCTGAAGACAGTCATATGCATTTGGGATGAGTAAAAGATGAGTTTTCTTTGGGGGGGTGGACTACCCCCTTAACCTCTTAACCAGCGCCCCATTTTTTGAGAATTTTCTGAAAATGACATACCCAAATACAAATGTCTGTAGCTCTTAAACCCTATGGTCCACATTCATAACTCTGATCTTTTTTTAAACTAGACACTTGAAACTTTGTTACCCAAGAGTCATTATTACTCAAAGTAGCATAGGAACAGAGTAAAACAAGGTAAAATTTACATGAATGTGACTCACGATTTCTTTTAATTAACTTCACTTAGGGAAAAAATGATCAGACTTTTATGTTAAGGGCCTGAAAACACCATAAAGATAAAATTGAATGTCTGACCATGTTTAGATTCAAATTTGAGGATGATACTCCCAAAAATGTAGCTTCTGTAAGCTTTTATTCAAGAAAAGTATAGGCGTCCTTTCCAAAATGCAATTTGGAGACTCCAAATGGACACCTGGCACCCAAACACTTTACATAGGGAGTAAACACTATAGGTCTGCAACAACAATTCAGAACTGTTATGCCCTTCAAACCACACAAGAAAAAAACGATTTCAGCACAACATTTGAACATTTTACCAAAATTATCTTTATTTTGAACAATTCTAATAGCAAAAACAGTGATTTCTCACTACATGTATAGACATTGCAGAAGTGTTCATTTTCCAACTAATGTATAAAATATATAAAAAGAAAAACATAAATGTTTTAGAACATTTGTAATTACAAACGTGGTTTTTACCCAAATAAATTGCAATAAACTGATACTTATAATGAATATCCTATTACTTCCTGTTGCTCTTCGTCATTTTCTGCAAAAAAACCTTCAAATCTCTTCTGTAGTCGACGATCCATGATACAGATGCTCAGATATAAGCTTTAGAGTAAATCCGTGCATTTATGCAAGCTCCATGTGTCAAAACATCGCGTTTATGTGTCTGTTTACATTCTGGTCGGCTTACTATGTGTGTGCGTGCTGCGCGCGTGGCGAAAGCGCACATGTGAATGAAAACTTTGCGCAGTTGAATTTGACGAATGTGCTTGCATGAACTGTCTATCACTGCAATCGATTTTAGTTGGCTAATACTCCCATCAATCAAAACGTAGCTCAAAGGACATTGGATAGCATTATCCAGGCTTTTATCCAGTCGAAAGCCCAGCTGCGCGATGGACAGCGCGCTCAGCCTGTCAGGGACTCTCTTACTGTTTTGGTCTGTAACAGAGCCTGTGATTGAAGGACAGAGAAGTAGGATGTATCATTCGATCCGGAAGAGTCTAAACTGCGGGGGTGAGATGGCTTTTGAGTGTTGGAATATGGATTAGAATCGATATTTCTTTGAAAATGAACATGATGCGAACTCTATCTCGAAAACGCTCATGAAAACAAAGGAGGATATTTCATTTTTTTCCCCTATTTTTCGTTGTTTTGGATTAAAAAGTGGGATGCATTTTGAAGAGTGGACCCTTACATTGAAATGTATGCTGTTGTTTCTTGGATTCTTCCGAACTGATCTGAACCATACGAGATGAAAGATGAGTATAGCGGTTCATTTTTCTCATTTTCAAATGAGCAGTCCTTTTGCATTTTATTTAACCCTTTCCTCTCTGGTGTATTGATTGCAAAAACAAGTCTAGAACATGGTTCTTGAGTGTTTTAGCTTTCAAATGATGCATAGTTTATGATAGTCAGATGAATATTTGTTATAAAACAAAGCTTAAAAAAGGTAATAAAAGTATAGCCACGCCCTCGACGGCCCGCTCGCGGGCCGATGCGGTTAACTAGGGTTGCTAACCGTTCTGTATAATACGGAATCATCCCGTATTTTAAGGCATCAATGAAGCGTTCCGTATGAAAGCCATACGGAACACAGTTTGTCCCGTATTCCCAGGCATACGCTCTAAATTGAGAATTTATCATTAATGTGAGACAAATCATTGTTTCACGAAATCATTCGATTTGCAAACATAGCCGTTCGCGGAAGGCTTTAAGAACCAGCAGAATCCTCTGCCAGCTGGTCTCTTCCGCTTCACAGCAAATGGGAATCACACTAATGGCAAATCCCTTCTTTCACTGTCGGCGTTTTGATTCCGGAAAATCAGTTTGAGCGAATCCAAACAAAGTGATTATTGTTCACGAGTCCAACAACATTCAGCCACGCAAGAAGACATGCAATCTCCCTGAGGGAAGAAGTGATCAAAAAGCGAGGTCGTCTTTCACTATTGTAAGTTAATGTTGTTAAAGGTACAAAATGTACGTTTTTGCCACCAGAGGTCGCATTTTCAAAACAATAACAAAGACGAAGCTTGATGATACTATGAAGGAGAGTGAAACGATGGGAGATGTCATTTTCACCATCCAGAGATGTATGGAATTCACAAATCATGTTCACGGATGAGGTAATAAATTAGTTTTTGTATTACCTGTACTTTTGATCACACTATTTTATGTCATCATAATTTTTGTCCAAAAGGTCCTGAGAGGAACTATTTTGTGTACTTAGTGCAAAATAGATTTATTAAAGGAAATGAAATAGTAAAATTCCAATAAAAATACACACCTGTGCCAAAATTTACGCAGTTGGCATTAACACAGGCAAAATGATAAAAAAACTAAACTGAAAAAGACAAAAATGTTCATAAGGTTGCACAAGGGTTAATTAGTCCACAAATAGCTTAGGTATGCAGAGCATTCACAGCCCCTGTTATAACCACGTGATTGTAATATTCTTATTCCAAAAATTGCTAAGTAGTCCAAATGATGTGTTGCACTCTTAGTGCTTTCTCACGGCACACAATAGTTTTGTGTCAGGTTCAGAGTAAAACTTAAGTACACAGAAAAATCCCGTGTTAAATTAACACTGCTCAGTGTTTATATGAGTCCACACTCAGAGTGTTATAAGTAACACTGAAGCAGTGTTAAAGTTGATGAGATAATTAAGTGAATAATTGAGTGATGATTGAGCATTATTGAAGACACCTGATGTTAATAAGCAGAATCACTGAAGGAGTAATATGTAAGTCATCATTATGGTGATCAGTGTTTTGTAATTAAAGCTAAGATATTCTTCGCTTACGAGGATAAGTCAGATCATTGGCAGAGGTAATTTTACACCAATGAGGACATATTTATGAATAAAGACATTGATTTTAGCTAATAACATACTTAAAAACTACACAGTGTACCTTTAAGATTTGGACCATGGATTGGAAAATGTTTTACTTTCATGATGATTTTTATGGTGCGTTTGTGGTGTATTTTTATTTTCCACAGAAAACAAAATAAAAATTACATGATGTAATGATTAAATGATTATTGAACTTGAATTAATTTTACGATTTTATAGTGTAGTCATGTTCAGAATTATGTAACCCTTTGAAATGATGTGACATGAGATGACATACAGAACAGAATGAAATGTTATAATTTCAAATTAATTAAATGAGCGAACTTCATTTAATAAATGTGATTGGAAACAATCTCATTGATCATAAATACAATAGAATCAACTGATTAATTCCATTAATTAAAAATTCAGAGATTAAATAAGGATACATAATAAAGTTCTGTAAGGTTCATACATAAATGATTAACCTTTTAGATGCAGGTAATACATTAATGTTGTACGTTTTAGTGTCTATGCAAACGTGGTTGAACAACATTTTACCTAATATACACTCAAATACCTATGACATTACATTGATTTGGCTTTTTGTTATTGAATAAATTATGTGATGTAAAAGTTTCAGGGTTGATTGTTAATCTGTTTGTTTGTACATGCTTTAACATTATTTATGTTACAGAATAAACACCAAAATAAGCAAAGTTAATATATGTCCGTTTATTTTTTAATACAATCTATACGGAAACTTTTCCCATCAGATGTTGCTTTGTATTTTGTTCAGGCTTACACAAAATTATATAACATTTAGGTGCAAATATGCAGAAAAGTAAACCAAAGCTTGAAGCTAAAATGGCAAATATCTCCACAGCTACAGTAAATTTCCCAGGAGGACTGACATAAGATGGGATAAATGTGATCCATACTGTACAGAATATAAGCATACTGAATGTGATGAATTTAGCTTCATTAAAGTTATCAGGCAGTTTGCGAGCCAGAAAAGCCAGAATGAAGCACAAGACAGCCAGCAGGCCAATATAACCTAGAACAGCCCAAAAACCTATATTAGAACCCAGACTGCACTCAAGAACAATCTTTTCATGATAATATTTCAAATTTTTGTAGGGAAATGGGGGTGATTTTGTTAGCCAAAGGACACAGATAAGAACTTGTATAAGTGTAAAGGCAAGAACACTGAGTCTTTGTTGAGGAGGCCCAAACCATTTCATGACATTACTTCCTGGAAGTGTAGCCTTGAAGGCCATTAACACTACTATTGTTTTCCCCAGAACACAGGATATACAGAGGACAAAAGTGATCCCAAATGCTGTGTGACGCAACATACAAGACCACTCAGTGGGCCGACCAATGAAAGTAAGTGAACAAAGGAAACAAAGAATCAATGAGAAGAGCAGCAGGAAGCTCAGCTCTGAGTTGTTGGCTTTTACTATGGGGGTGTCCTTCTTACTGTAAAAAAGAATTGCCATAAGCACAGTTAATCCTACTCCAAACAGTGAGAAAAAGACTAGCACTATACCCATAACTTCACTGAATGACAGAAACTCTACAGCCTTTAACACACATTTATTTTTCTGAGCATTAGACCAGTATTCCCCTGGACACTGCTTGCAGTTATTTGAATCTGGAAAGAAAGTAATGATACTTGTAGTTAGAAACAAAAATTACTGTCACCCCCCTTTTTGAGAATGGACATTAAAATGCACTATTCAACCTTAAATGGTTGTAATTCAAGTATGTTTTGGAATATAGATCTAAGTTTGGTCTTGTTTTAAAGGAAACACTCAGCAGATCATTGCTGAAGTGAAAGCACTTGAAAATGAAAGTATACAAAAGTTATGGAAGTTAAAATTTACAGTAAATCAAATATACTGTACTTATCATTTTTTCTTTTATATAAAATATATATTTTACAAAATATTTTTTACTCTAAAATTACTATAGAATCAAAGCCATTTATCTAACCAAGTTGTGTTCCAAATTTGAAGTTGATATCACAAAAATTGAAGTTCCCTATCAAGGGAACTCGAGCTGCGTCGAGACGCGGTGGGGACGCCCCTGCGTGATTGCGTCGTGAAGCACGTGTATAATCAGTCCAATGGAGAGACGAGACGTCATAGGTGGGTGACGTCATCGACCAGGAAACTATAAAGCACACCTGAAAACAGACCGCGCTAGCTTCTGTGCCTTCAGCAAGCGCTCTGTGTGATCTTGTCTCTGTCTATTTATTGTTGTTTGTCCACAAGCATATATATATATATATATTAGACATGAGTATGGAGAGCAAACAGCCTTGGATCTTGTGTTCGTCCCTGCCCTCGCTTCATTACGAGTGGGGACACACGCGATTCATGTGTTGTCTGTTTGGGAGTGGAGCATGCACGGTCAGCTATAGTAAATTGGGTCTGACTGTGTTCATTCATAAATTCCCGACGTGTAACATATGTGACCCGTCACGGAAACCAGGGACACAAGTCGGCAGCACAACTTGCGAGCAAAATGAGAAAGAAGCGTTTTTTTCCAAAATTGGTGATTTCCGCTTTTTTGCAGAATCTGTTAGTTGAGATCATGAAGAAGCCTCTACATGTTTGAGATAACAGTATTGGTATATTTAAAAGCGTACATTTTGAGGTTGAAATCGGCTTGTTTTTCGGAGATTCTAGCATGCAGTAGGGGCGTGTCATTGTCTGTCTGTATTTCCATACTGAATAGCCGCCGGCGCTTTTGCCCCCGCCCCCCAACAGCGTGGCTACTTAATATGCAGCGCTCTGGCCGGCTCTATCTGATATCAAAATTCAATGAAGATGGACGCCGCAAAGATTGTCGCAGACGAGCTGAAGCGTGGCAGTTACACCGAAAATGTTTTCGCCGCACTTTGTGGGCTCGGGAAACTGAACCGGAGGTATGGGCGCGGCGCGCGCGCCCTCGGTGCTTGAATACGGCGGCTCGGCTCGCTGACAGCGGTGGCTAACTGTTTCATATGTGATGTCCCGATTGCTTTGAATGGGGAACGTTTTGTGAACAGGGAACAGACTTAATGGACTGGCAACAATCTCCATAGAACATGAACTGGCACAGAGAATCGAAATAGAGGATGCAGTTAAGACCTTTGCTGCGATGAAGGCCTGCCGTGCGCGTTTCTGAAACGTAAGTTAAGCTTCATTTGCTCTCTAGTCGTTATTTAAGATGCTGAACCTGCTGATGATATAATGTGCTTGCGGACATTTCATTTGTGTGTGTATACGCACATAAGAAAGTGGTGTAAAGAGATTTGCAACAGTAATCTGAGGAGGAAATATGATTATTTGGAAAATTCCTGTCATGACTGCTTAAAGAAAAATGCCAGCAGGCATTTACCTCCTGCATAAACTTTAATATTGTTGACATTTTGGGCACACGCGCGTTGCGCACTATTTGCGTTATATGTAGGCCTATGGCTTATTGGTCTTTGTGTGTTGTTGCTGGTTTTGCGTTATATGTATATGGCATATTGGTCTTTGTGTGTTGTTGCTGGTAAACGTTGCAAATAGAGGGGCAGCACAATTGTTTTTCGCCTAGAGCGGCAGAAGTGCATTCGCCGGTCCTGGGGGTGAGTTTGCATTAAGCATTAAAGTTTGTCGTTTTGTTTTAATTCTAAGAACACGTACATGTTATCTCATGTTTAGTCTGTTTAGACCTTCCCATACCTACCTATTGTTATTAGCTAGCTCAGGAAAGAAAAAAAAGCTGTAAAGCACAGGGGGAGCTTTACAGGGGGTATGGCTTATCTAAATGAGATGTAAATGAGCCCTATTGTCACTCCCAGCAGGAGAGAGAGGTGAGAATGCACAATCTTTTGAGGCCGTTTTCTCCCATTTTACCTTTTTTGAGTTCCTACCTTCAAATGGCCACAACTTCTCCAAATATTATCAGATTTCCACGTGTTACACATCGTTGGAAAGCTTGGAGACTACACTTTCAGAATCTATGAATAACTCAAAATGCCGAAGAACCGACTTGTGTCCCTAGTTTCCGTGATCGGTCACATATGCACTATCGAGAGTTTTAGCTCTGCTCTTGTTGGCTTTCTTCTCGAGGGAAGAAAGTCAATAAAGATTTGGCTCGGATCTACGCGTTTGCCGAGGCAGCGTGTAGATTACGGGTCTGCAATAAAGATTCTGTGACTCGATCTCAGATCTCACGTGTGCCGAGGCAGCGCATAGATTACGGGCTGCATAAGAGCCGTGGCTCGGATCTCGCGTTTGCTGAGGCAGCGCGTAGATTACGGGTTTGCAATAAGAATCTATTGGCTCAGATCTCGCGTTTGCCGAGGCAGCGCGTAGATAATGGGTCTGCATCTCTACAATAAGAATCTATGGCTCAGATCGCGCGCTTGCCGAGGCAGCGCGTGATTATAATTTATGGGTCTGCATATCTGCATAATAAGGTGGCTCTTCTCACGTTTGCCGAGGCAACGTGTAGATAAATGGTAGCCAATATGCACAGGGAACTGAGTAGACGGGAAATTTCCCTTTCCCTCGTTCTCTTATGATTGTTTGAAAACTAATTTTGTATTCTTTATTGTTTGAGATTATAATATGAGGTCTATATTAATACACTATATTCAGCCTTTAAACTAGACCGTTTCTACTTGTCTGGTTGATATTTGGCTGCATTTAATTTGAGAAAATTAAATATGTAGGCCTACTCATCTAATCTTTGAGTTAAATGTCTGTTTTTATAGGCTACTATTCAGCTTTTTCATTCAGACCGTTTCTACTTGTCTGGTTGATATTTGGCTGCATTTAATTTTTGAGAAAATTAAATATATAGCTACTCATCTTATCCTTGGAGTTAGATGTCTATATTAATATACTATTCAGCTTTAAGCTTTTTCATCCAGACCGTTTCTACTTGTCTGGTTGATATTTGGCTGCATTTAATTTTTGAGAAAATTAAATATGTATTCATCTTATCCTGGAGTTAAATGTCTGTATTAATATACTACTCAGCTTTTTCATCCAGACCGTGTTTACTTGTCTGGTTGATATTTGGCTGTATTTAATTGAGAAAATTAAATATGTACTCATCTGATCTTTGAGGAGTCATTTATTTCTGAGGAAATAAATGGTTGTTCCCAAGAGGAAATGGATAACACCTCATTATATGGTGCACATCTCCCTTCGGTGCCCTCCAGCGAGTTCTAGTCTCAGTGTCTGACTCGCAGAAGGGGGGTTTAAGAGGGGTCAGTTCGGTTATTTCCTGCTGGTCATCCGTTTCAGGACGCCGGATTGGCTTCTCAAGCTATACTAGAGACCAGTCTCGAGAGGCTGGTTCCTTTTAGTAGTCTCAGCCATAGTCATTTTTGGATAAGACATATCTGAGGATAGTCGTTATCTCGAAGTAGGCTTCGACTAAGAAGAAGTCCTGATGCCGAGGCTATCAGGCTTCTAAGGGGGGCCCCCTCCGGGCAGAGACGGGTTCGAGAATCCGTGTCTCCTCGGCGCCCTCTGGGGGGGCGACTCTCTGAGGAGGGTCGCAGCGCTGCCAGTTCGGTTGTTCCCTGCTGGTTCGCCGTTCAGGGCACCGAGGTGTCAGCGTCCCCAAACTCCGAGGAGGGTCGTAGAACAGTCAGTTCGGTTTTCCCTGCCGGTTCGCCGTAACAGGGCACCGAAGTGGCTGTTCGACCAATACCAGAGGCCAGTCTTAAGAGACTGGTCCCCTTAGTAGATTTTCTGGCAGCGTGGAAGCTACTGCCAAATATATCTCGTTGGGTCCTGCTCACTATAGAAAAGGGTTACAGAACTCAGTTCGGTTCTCATCCACGCATATTTCTAGGGGTCCTCCCTACGGTGGTGGACCCCGAGCAGGCTCTGGTTATGTTATCATTCCTGGGAAGCGACTCTCTGAGGAGGGTCGCAGCACTGCCAGTTCGGTTGTTCCCTGCCGGTTATCCGTTTCAGGGCACCGAGGTGTCAGCGTTCCCAAACGATCCTCTGAGGAGGGTCGTGGAACAGTCAAGTCGGTCGTTCCCTGCCGGTTATTCGCTTCAGGGCACCGAAGTGACTGTTCGGTTAAATCCAGAGGCCAGTCTCGAGAGACTGGTCCCCTTAGTAGATTTTCTGGCAGCGTGTAAGCTACTGCCAAATATATCTCATTGGGTCCTGCTCACTATAGAAATGGTTTCAGAATCCAGTTCGGTTCTTCCGTCTAGATTTCTAGGGGTCCTCCCTATGTGGTGGACTCCGAGCAGGCTCTGGCTATGGAGCAAGAAGTACAGACTCTTCTGCGAAAGGAGGCTATAGAAAGGGTTCCTCCTCCCAGTAGGGAGTCAGGGGTTTACAGCCGTTACTTCATTGTTCCAAAGAAGGTTGGATGCTTACATTTCAAACAGATTGTGTCACAGATTCAGTCCGAGGACTGGTTTGTCACGATAGATGGAAGAACGCGTAGTGTACCAATATCGGGTTCTTCTCTACGGCCTAGGTAAAACTAGGCCAGTCACTCACTGCGAAACAGTTTCAGAGACTGGTGGACACCCTGCAGTGGTGGCTCAGGACCAAGGGGTTTCTCCGAGGGGAAATCCGTTTCGCATGATCAAGGTCCCGCGGCGATGCCTACGTGCCTTAGTCATGTGGAAGAAACCTTGGTTCCTCGCCCTAGGCCCAGTGCTGGGGGCTTCTTGTCGACGCGTAGCTATCGACGGATGCTTCCCTCACAGGTTGGGGGGCGATCATGAGTGGTCGCTCGGCGAAAGGTCTTTGGCAGGACCATCTACCTTTTTGCCACATAAATCGGCTAGAAATTATGGCGGTGTTTCGATCTCTCTCTCTCAAGCACTTCCTGCCAGACCTGAGAGGTCACCATGTGCTTGTCTGCACAGACAACACGTCGGTGGTCTCTTACATAATCCAGGAGCAGACATCCTGTCGAGGCAGGGGCCGAGGCCCGGGGAATGGAGACTCCACCCCGAGGTGGTGGAACTCCTATGAAAAATTTTGGTCGAGCAGAAGTAGACCTCTTTGCATCTTAGAGAACACACACTGTCCACTATGGTTCTCACTCAGTCAGCCAGCTCCTCTGGGGCTGGACGCTATGATGCAGACATGGCCGAGGTCACATCTGTACGCATTTCCCCCGATCTCTCTGCTCCAGGGAGTTCTGGAGAGAGTTCGCCGGGACGGGGCCCTTCTTCTGTTATTAGCCCCGTGTTGGCAGGCCCGAGTATGGTTCTCGGACCTAGAGTCTCTCCTTGACGGCTCTCCTCTGGAGATTCCGCTCGGGGGGACTTTTTCTCTCAGTCGAGCGGGTTGATCCTTCCCCCCGCCCAGAATTGTGGAAACTTTGGGCTTGGCTTCTGAGGGGCCCCAGCTCATAAGTTCAGGTCTCTCAACTGAGGTTGTTGAGACCATCCTCAACTCCAGAGCTCCCTCCACGAGGAACTCTACACCTTGAAGTGGAAATTGTTTACTTCCTGGTGCGGAGAGCACCAGCTGGACCCAGTTATCTGCCCTGTGGTTGCAGTGCTGGAGTTCCTGCAGGAGCGTTTCTCCGCAGGTCTATCCCCCTCCACACTAAAGGTGTACATGGCAGCCTTAGCTGCTTACCATGTCCCTTTAAGTGGTGTATCCTTGGGGAGACACCCTGTAGTACGTTTCCTTCGCGGCACTGTGAGGCGTCTGACCAAGATACTAGGAGTATGGCTGCCTCAAAGGCTATGACTTGATCTAGGCTCCACTCCGGGGTCTAGGGTGCTTGCTTCTTAGTGTGCGCAAGGACTTCACACAGAACAGGCATTTGTCTATATGGCGTTGTGGGTATAGGGTTCCCACCGCGTCTCGACGCAGCTCGAGTTCCCTTGAAAGGGAACGTCTCAGGTTACGTATGTAGCCCTGGTTCCCTGAGAGGGAACAAGACGCTGCGTCGCCCTGCCATACTCCCTGCATGCCTGTGATCGACTTGCTTCGGCCTATCAGAAGCTAGCGCGGTCTGTTTTCAGGTGTGCTTTATAGTTTCCTGGTCGATGACGTCACCCGCCTATGACGTCTCGTCTCTCCATTGGACTGATTATACACGTGCTTCACGATGCAATCACGCAGGGACGTTCCCACCGCGTCTCGACGCAGCGTCTCGTTCCCTCTCAGGGAACCAGGGTTACATACGTAACCTGAGACGTTTCCATGAGATTTTGTTTAGGCGTAATACCAAAAATAGCCACCGGGTGACATACATTCTGCCGTAACAAATTAATAAATTTCTGTCCAAATATCACTTCTGTCACAAAATATGGAACCTTGAGACTCAGACCTTTCTGACAATATGTTTTGTCAAGATTAGAAAAGGTTTTGAACATAAATTATGAAACATGATGACGCCCAAAAGGGGAGGAGCCCAATTAAATAATTTAGAGTACCGTTTCTATGGTAACGCAACGTCCAATTTCAAAACAGTTTTCACAGGATGAATTCTGAGTTCGTAAGCTTTCAAATGATACCTAATTTATGATAACTACTAAAATATGTTATGTAATAAAAAGGCGATAAAAAAGATAATATTATATTTTAGAGGATAATATATATATATATATATATATATTATACTTTTTAGAGGATAATATTATTTTATAATTTTTTATTGAACTCCTGTTATGATGTAGATTTTTTGAGGTGCAGTCTTGTCATAAATTCATCTATTACTGTTCCTACATAATTTGTATCAAAATACAGTGCTAAAACAGTGCTAGCGGGACGGTGACAGTTAAGAAACTGCATTCAGAAACTGCAATCCAAGAGGGGAAACATAAAAAGGAATGGTTTACTTAAAAATTGTGAAATGTGCTAAAGATTACCTGTCTCATTACTGATTTCTCCTTCTGCACATGGAATACAGTCATAACAGCAGACAGGTTTTCCTTTCTGTGCAGCCTTCCTAGTGCCTGGAGGACAGCTCTCACTGCAGACAGACCTTGGCTTCTACAAAGAAAAATACATTACTCTTAGTAATGTATACTGAATGATGATTGAAGATACATTTGCAATAATTACTCTACTGTTGCATATTTCAATCTTTAAATGATGCAAAGATATCGGAAACAAAATCATTTGAAAGTGCTTTTACAAAAAAATAATCACCATTACCACCACAGTACTGTCCTTTTGTTTAATACTGGCTCTGCTGTTGCTTTTGACCATAGAGAAACCACATTTTCTATCTTGTGAATAAAACAGGTGCATATTGTTTATTTTTAAATTTATTCTTCTTACCTTTATGTCATTTGTATAGGACAGTGCAAGTATTTTACCAATTTGTTCTTTTAGTTTCAAGAAACTCTTTAGGCCAAACATGCTTTTGCCCTTTACCTCTAGCTGTCCTCCAGCCCAGATTATGTTTTTAGTGTTAAGCACAAAGCGCTGATGAGGTGGAAGTGAGACATCATAGTATCCCACTGGTTTAAATTGGACTGATCCATTTGAGTCTTTCTGCCAGTTCACAACTTCATATTGCGCTACTGCAGCACCGGTGCTGTCAAACCACAAACGATCTCCCATCTTTACTGTGAAATTTACATTTTTCAGAGCCTCAACAACCTATTGAGAAAAAGGCATTTTAAGAGATTTTCAAACAGAAATAGGGCTATCCTCTTACTTTTCATTACCCTGCCGCTTATGTTTTACTTGTTTTACCTGGTGTGGTTGTATTGTCAGGCCTTTCTCACAACCTGCTTGTTCTTTGCACTTGAGTAGACTGTGAAGTGAATGAGCCACAGCATAAACTGCTTTGTAGACATTGCTTGAATATCTTTGTTCAGGCACATCTTCATTGTAGTTTTTCAGTGCAAGTAGATCCTGATATTTATTACAACTTAATGCATATTGAGAAAAATTCCCCTCAGTCTGTGGGCATGGAAAATTTGTTTCCCAGAATGCTTTTATAACATAATCTGCTAAACCTCCAATATCTATTTTTCTGACTCCAAACCCCAATGACCCTCCCAGCACACGAAAACTGTTTGGAATGATCAGACTCTTTGCAGTTATCCATCCTTCAACTCCAATCATTTGGAGGTCTGTAATGTTCTGAATACTTAGCTGCTCAAGTAGATTATACATTTCAGAACTGGTAAGAAATGCAACAATCACTTTTGCAGTGCCTTTTTTTATTGTGTCTACCACTTTTTGTAATTTTTCTGGTTCTGTTCGATAGAATTTCACATAGAATTACTCCACGCAAATTCCCTCCTCCATCACTAGCAATAGTCCTGAAGAAGGAAGGGTATTCTTTCCTATTACTGAGACATTCACATGAGGCTGAAGGACTTATCTGAGGAAAAAAAGCAAACAGTTAAAAAGGCATTAGTTTGGTGATTATGTCCAACTTCTGATGTTGTTGCACCGTACCACTGGAATTTTAAAAGGTCCTGTAGTTCTGGACAGAATCACAGTAGCAGAAGACTCTGTTTCTCCTATGATAGTATGTATAGGAGACTGTCCATTGCATCTGTTTTCTGCTGTAAATTCTGGACCATTCATCAATGCCATAGTTGCACTCATTGAAGACAGTCTTGAACCACAGGTATCATAAATTTGGTAGCCAATAGAAACATTTGGTAACAAACTTTGACTTTGGTTAATCTCCTCAATGGCAAAGATCATGGTCTGAGCCATTCGAAAATCTCTTAGACTCACACTGTAAACACATTAAACCAGTTTGTTAAACACAGACCAAAACACTTTATTTTTAAATATTTTTAAATTTAACTTGTAGTTCACACCTGAAATACATTAACATTCCACATGTTATATTATATTGTTGATATTACATATTTGCTGTAAGGATTATATAAAATAGTTTCCAAAGTAACAAACCTTGAGCATGATAGAAGAAGAGGTTTTTGTGTAAACTCAAATGAAGGTAATGACTCTATACCATGGACTGAAAAAAGTGCTCCAATAGTTACATCTCCATCCTTGGATAACAGCGGGTATGTTGGGTCTCCCATCATTCGGCAAAGAGGCTTTTCTGCCTTTGCATGAAATTGAAAGATAAGCAAGAGTGTGTAAAGAAAGACAGACATCGCAAAGATTGAGCTCAACTGTGGTCCCATGCAACTGACTTGATAAAATGTTTGCACTTTTATAGGCATAATTAATATGGATGATTGATTGTTAATTTAGCCAATGAACTCATAGGGCAGAACATGTGTCAGGTCAAGCAAGGGTGCAATAGAGCCATGCTAATATGATAGAGTTTAATATTTTCACAAGGTAGTAAATTCTAATATCCAAATATGAGTGTGTATTTTTTTATAGGTGGGTTTTTCAATATCAAAGGTTATTTTCTTTCAGTTTATTTTTTACAATATATTTATTGTATAAAGTGTTTGTAAAGGAAACTAGTAAAGGAAAGTGTACATTTGAGGTTTCTAAGGAAATGTTTTTACGACTTCTTACCATTCTTGTACGTTTTACAATCAGGTTTCTGCAGTTCTCTTAAAGGTGCAATGTGTAAAAATTTTGAGTATCTATTAACAGAAATGCAATATGACATCCATAACTATGTTTTCAGTGGTGTATAAAGAACTTACTTAATAAACCGTAATGTTTTTATTACCTAGAGGTGGCAATATTGATAAAGTGCTATGCCAAAGGGAACTTTACTGGATTCATACTCTGGACGCCTAGCATCCTAAAGGTTTAAATGTGGACTTTGACATGAGTGTCATGCTATAGTCACAGTTGTACGGTCTTTTATAAGTTTTCTATAAGTCTTGAATACTGCAGTTTATGAAGTTGTTACTGATGTTTTTGCAGTCTCCATATACTTATATAGTAAGCATGAATGAATGTGTGTGTATATATATATATGCGCCTCTATATATATTTTTTGTATATTTTTTGTATATGTACAGTGGTGTGAATAAGTTATTACCCCCATGCTAAAGTTGCCTAAAAAGAGGAATAAAAAATCATCTTTTGGAAATTGATCTTAATGCCTTAATTAGAAAAATGAGGAAAAATCCAACCTTTAAAGACACCAATAGTCTTTGTGTATGAATAATGTATCATAAATAAATAATTGTTCTTCCTTAAAATACAGGGTGCATAAGTCAGGCCCCCCCTATGTTAAATTCCCATAGAGTCAGGCAGATTTTTATTTTTAAAGGCCAGTTATTTCATGGATCCAGGATAATATGCATCCTGATAAAGTTCCCTTGGCCTTTGGAATTAAAATAGACCCACATCATCACATTCCCTTCACCATACCTAGAGATTGGCATGGGGTACTTTCCATAAGATCATCTTTCAATGCAAATCAAACCAGCTATTAGGCTAACTGAAATAACACCATGCCAATCTCTAGGTATGGTGAAGGGAATGTGATGATGTGGGATATTTTAATTCCAAAAGCCAAGGGAACTTTATCAGGATGCATATTATCCTGGATCCATGAAATAACTGGCTTTTAAAAATAAAAATCTGCCTGACTCTATGGGAATTTAACATAGGGGGGGCCTGACTTATGCACCCTGTATTTTAAGGAAGAACATTTATTTATTTATGATACATTATTCATACACAAAGAAAATTGGTGTCCTTAAAGGTTGGATTTTCCCTCATTTTTCTAATTAAGGCATTAAGATCAATTTCCAAAAGATTATTTTTTATTCCTCTTTTTAGGCAACTTTAGCATGGGGGTAATAACTTATTCACACCACTGTATACTTATGTCGGTTTCTTGTAGTGTGATTTTTCATTTTTCTTTGTCTTTTTTCCATTTTGTTTTTTCACTATGTGGAGTTAGTGTTGATCACCTAAAAACTACAACTCCCACTATTGGACTACAACTGGTCATACCTGGCCTCTGCAGGTGTGGGTTATTATTGTTGATTGTCCTGATGTGTTTTGAACACAATTAAATGGAATGTGACATTTAGTTTTTGTATGCCCTGAGGATGGTCTTGTGACCGAAAGCTTGGCGATTAAAATTGCTTTAAAGGATTCAAGTAGTGATGGGCAGATCGAGGCTTCGTGAAGCAATGAAACAGTTGAATCAAATGGTTCATATTGTTTCGAGGCTTCGAATCAATCTGACACCCGTCTCCACGGTGACACCTAGTGGTCACTTGCAGGTGTTGATCTGAAACAACCTTGACAAGCCATGAATTTTTTTTTTTTTTTTTTTTTTTTTTTTTACTTTTCTAATATGTGAATTATCTTATAGACTCCTCATTGTGCATAATGTTATTTTGGTCCTGCAAAATGAATATTAATAAAATAAATCAAGCCACAATGTCTCACTTTTTTACTTATTTTTATTTACTTAGCCTACTTCTTTTTTTACAGATAATTTCTCCAGCCTTTGAAAAAATCCTCTCACAAGGGACACTTGTTGCTGGCATGCAAAGATATTTTTTAGCTAATACATACAAATGAGGAAAGATTACTGCTCTCTCTTTCCAGTAAGTTAGTGGATCATGAGTTGTGGGCAAATACGCATCGTTGATGTATTTTTTCACTTCCACTGTGGCATCAGCTGTAGCATTGTGTATCATCTGGGTTTGATGATACGAGTATCAAAAAGTTCCCATAAACTGTCCTGTGTTTCTACTGGATGATGTATTGTTGCAGGCGAGCTGCCGATCACAATACACACATCTCACTTTATTTGGGGTTTCTAAATGGAAATGCTCCCACACCACAGATGTACGGCATCTCTTCTGGGGTGCCTCCATTTTATCTATCTATCCAAATCTATCTAGATCTCTAATCTATCTATGTAATTCGATATGTATAATATGTATCTATAATCTATCAATGTATTTATATTATGTAGCCTATCTTTAATCTATCTGTATCTATCTATCTATTAATCTAGCTGTCTATATATATTTATATCTATGTATCTATTAATTAATGTGTCACTATACTCTGTGTCTCTAGCCTATCAGTCAATGTGTTGTGTACATTTAAGCCTAAATATAACTAAACAAATCGCACTATAAATGTCACTATCACCAAAAATCCGCAATCTCAAAATCAAACTCCTCTCACAAAAACCCACGAGGTCAATATGCGTTGATTTCACTTTTATACAGATGTGCGATTGTGTGGTCTGTTGTTCCCGACCGTGTCAATCAAACGCTGATTCGGCGGATCACACCTGATGAAACACTAGTGAAACACTTCGAGGCTTCGTTTGGCCATAGTCACGTGACATGGGTGTTTTGAATCACGCTTCGAATCAGTGTTTCGAAACATCTGCGCTTCGGGATCTCGCAAAGCTTCGGAACGACTGTTTCGCGGCAGCCATCCCTAGATTCAAGTGTGCAGACAGTTTATTTATTTACCTTAGAATGAGACATTAATATCTACATAACCGTGGGCACCCCCTTCTATGAAGGTCGACATATTGTGACGTCATGTTTCTACCGTAGCCGACAGCGAACAAACAGCGCTACAGAGCACGTTTCGTCACTACCTGAAAGAGAAGCCGCAGAAACCTAGAAGCTAGCCATAAACACCGTGAGTAGTGACTTTTCCCTTGTCAGTGGTGTAAAATATGTAGTTGGATTGTTGGATTATTGGCGAAGCACTGCTACTTGGGCGGAGTAATAACCGCAGCACCTGAGACGTACCGTACCCAAACTCTGAACGAACTCTCTGCTCCTCACCACGGCGCGTCTCAGGTGCTGCGGTTATTACTCCGCCCAAGTAGCAGTGCTTCGCCTTCAGAGAATATAGTTCCCAGTATTTATACGGTTAAAATATGTCTGTGTCTCATGTGACTTTGTTTTTTGTACACTCTGTGACTATACAAATCACAACATGTAAATAAGAAAATGTTTGCGTTATTTTGTCACTTATTTGGATTAGTATGCTAGCTGCAACCATTTACATCCAGTCTTTGTGCTAAGCTAGGCTAGCGGTGGGTGCGTCAAACAGACTTATAGCACGCACGGAGATGAAAAAGGTATGTATGGACTTGTCTAACTCTGGGGGATAAGGTGAATAGGCTAAAGTCCCAAAAAGTCGGAGTGTTCCTTTAACCAGCTCAGCCATAGTAACAGCTCATATTTAGCCAGCTAAACTTTTACTACCCTGTTAGAACAAATATATAGTTGCATAGTTTCATGTGGTTCTTCTCCCTCGCTGTATTATGGGTTTGCTATGTGGAGAGAAATGTGCTGGTTACGTTTGTCAGACAATCAGCTGATTACTATTATTATATTATATATTAACCCTCTGGGGACCAAGGTGTTTTTGGGGTCCTTGAGATGTTTTGACATGCTCTGACATTTGTGCTTTTTTCAGTTGCTTATAAACATATTAATGGCACAGGTGAAATTACACTCAGCACAAACAGGTCTACCATAATGTGTGAGCAACATGTATGTACATGTTTGTATTTTTGAGAGAATATTGTTTATGCGTGGTTATTGAAAAAACTAAAAAATAACGTTTTTGAAATAAGGACACAAAAAACATACTAAATATGTGTCCACAAGACTTTTGACTAATGTACGTTGTCGCCTAGAGTTTTTGCTTCAAAATGATCTGAAAATCATCCTTCCTAATCATTCACATAAAACAATAGATTGTTTTAAATTGTGAAAAACATTTTTTTGTTTGCCAAGGCAATACGCGGATGGGCGGAACGGCCCAACCCCTATCATGAATAATTAAGTGGTTCTCAGACAGTGACCCTGCATAATAATGAGCCTTTCATTCAGGGGTGTCACACAAGAAAGAATGCAAGGACAATATATATATATATATATATACACACACACACACACACACACACACACATATATATATATATACAAACAATCAAAATATAAATGAAAGCCAAAAGCACATTTTTAGTCATACCTGGAAACAAATCCTGGTCAAATGCTTTATGGGCCATTCTACAGAATTGGTTCAAAGTACAGTTGGAAACATCTTGAAAAGAAAATAGTCTTTTCCCATAAATGTCTTATAAAGTATTATTTTTTAAAGTAGACCAATACAATAAAAATAAACCAGTCGCATTTCAAAGTCGCTCGCGAAATGACCGCCAGGTGGCGCAAAGGGACATTTATCAAAACGTAAGTGGGGCTAATGTCAATTAACAGTAAGGATGAAATTCTACAAGTTATGGTAATTTACAAATAAGCCTACAACAAACATTTATTTTTAAACAAATATTTTTAAATATGCAACATGCACGTTTAAACAACAAACAATACAATCTGAACCAGCGCTTCCTGTATTGAGACATGCAGCGCGTTTCAGTTACGATCCTGGTTCCAGTGGCCTTAATACATTCACGGCTTTTTAAAATGTCACAAAGCGTTTTGAGATGGTTTTGAATGAAATATTGAAGTTTATAATTAGGCCTAGGGTATTTTGGCACACCACGCCGAGTGGCTATGCATTATTCTAAAATCTGGCTTTATTCTGGCATGTTGAATTAGAGTTTGACAAACGCGGCGGCGCGTTCATTTGAATTTATTTTTCTCATAACAGCTAAAAGAACTTACTGCGTAATTGTTGGTCATACAGATAAGATATCATCTTTTAAAACTGTAAAAGGTCTACTTTTATTCATGTAGGCTAAAGTAGGCCTACACTCACAGGCTAACGACAAAACGTTTTCTCGCTCATGTGAGAAACAAACGTTTGGGCAATTCTCAGTGAGAAAATTCATAGCCGAGCGGTAGAACTTACGGTTCGATCATCAAGAGGACACGGGTTCAAATCCCGATCAAACATGGTCTACTGTAAATTTTATATTTATTAATGCAGAGAGATTTGTCTAGCTCTAAAACTCTGTTACACCATACAGTTTTGTGCTTATATTTATAAAATAAAATTACCATGCATTTCCATTTTACACTAAGGAACAATAGTATCCAACAGAACGACTTTGCATCTAATCGTACGAGGCTACCAATCGTAATTTCAAAAGCAGTTCTGTAAAAAAATTAATTTTATATATAGCCTATATATATATATTTTTTTTATTAGGCCTATTATTATTATTTTTTGATTCCCTACAACCTAGAGTTTTTAAAAACATGGTTTTAAGGAAAGTGTGATTTGCCAGGAGGGACTGGGATTTCCTTCTGGTCTAAACATCCCTGCTTCTGCTGAATTATTTGAATCCCCACACCCCTCCCTCCACAGTAATCAATGCTATAGGCTACTTCACCAATAGACCATATCAAATATAAAAAGAGATATGCAACAGAACAAGCACGTTTAAACGACAAACAATAAAATCAAAACCAGCGTTTCAGTTGTTCATTAGTTCAAGTGGCCTTAATGCATGCACGGCTTTTAAATTTTCACAAAGCGTTTTGAGATTATTTTGAATGAAATATTGAAGTTTATAATTAAGTGTTTTGGCAGACCACGCCGAGTGGCCCTATGCATTTTTCTAAAGTCGGGTTTTATTCGAACTTTTGCTAACGACAAAAGTTTATCTGTCGTCTCTGTCTCCGGGAACTGCGCGTCACAAAAATGAACCGAAAGCCACTTCAGCTCAGTCACTATAAGAAATCGGCTATGTCTAAAGCCTTTAAATGTCTAAATATTCAGGCTAATAAATGTTATCTGATTATGTAATCCATATGAAAACGAGAGGTACAGAGGATCTACTCAAACATGTAGCCTATGTAAGCGCTTCCCAATGAGAAAATGACAAGACAAGGCTGAAAATCTCGCTCTAATTAAATGTAGCAGGCTAAATCGCCCTGAATTAAAATGTAAAAACAGAACAAATAATGTATTTGTCGAAATGTTGCGATATTGTTTCATTTAAGTTCATAATTATTATATACATGTTATTTAATTTAGCAGCATTACCACGAAGCACCGTGGTTCGATATTTATTTGAATAAAAAATAAAATAAAAAAACTTAATTCACAAATTGCATGCCTGGTTGTAAGGATCCAAAGATCCCTGTAGAATTTAATATTGAGTTGAACATTTTGTTCATGACAACAAATTAACAAGCGTTTTTTCAGATTATATTTAGTTTTGCTTGGAAAAAGCTGGCCCAAACCAGTTTTATTTCATCAATTATTGAAATAATGAAATATTTAGTAATAAACTTTTATGACAGAAATATCATAGGCTACATGTAACTTAAATCATTTAATTCCTTCATTATCAACACTGTCTAGAATAGCGATTTAAGTGTGAATTGCGACTTCTCTTTGTGTTAAGTCAGCCTCAGACTCCGATAGCCGGTGGGGGGTTGGAGGGACAGTTCAGTGCTGTATCGTGCGCGCAGGACAATAGGCCTAGGTGTTAATGTTTCTCTTTCATATGGAGTGTCGGATAACGCCACTAACGCCGAGGGAGACTAAATAAACTTGTTAAAAAGAGATTCAGCGCGAGAGAGGCAAAGAAAAACGCATGTTTTTAATTTAATTATGTTGCTTTGGACAATTTTCGTTTTGTACTGTTTTAATTGTTTAATATAGCTGTCATTTCTTTGGCAATACAAATTTAAAATGTCGCAAGAATAAGATTAGCCTAGTGTTTCTTATTTTGCATCGCAAAAGAAATAAACTCTAAACTCTAATTTTTTAAATTAAAAAAACTGTCCCGACACTTTATTTAAACCTTGAAATGTTCGAACTTGGTTTCAAACTTAAGTAATTTTAGTGTTCTTTTACATTACACAATAATTTAGCAGACTAAAGACGAGCTTCTTCATTTTCATTTTCTGATGCAATCGGCTGACAATCTTCCTTCATCAGTTTGTGTCCTTTGTGCAGCGGCTGCGGCTCTACAGGAATGTAGCAAATATGTTGTAATGATAATTAAACAAAACTCTTGACTTTAAATAAGTAAACAGTTATAAACAGTTAGCTATTTAAGCATCAAGAAGGTAAAATATAAACGCTGTTGGCCAACAACATGCATGCTACATTGAGATTCGATCTCGGGTCGATTGAAGCTCCTTGAAGCTCGTGTTGTTGCGTTAACCACTGAGCTACCGTCTGTACGTCTGTAAATGTTTTTATTGCAATGTTTTATGTTTTCATTATTTATTCAATTTCATTTCAGTAGCCTAATTTCAGTATTGTGATTATTAATTATTTTAACTACGTTTCACTCGTTGAATTCATCTGCTACCAGCTTTCAATTGCTCTGAATGAGCCGCGGTGCGGTGGCAGATTACGCATTAGAGAGAATAAACGAACACTTTTCAGAGTCTATGATTGTAGCGCCTCTTAGCGGTAAAAGGCAGCAAATACACCCCACATTTTACCGCCACGGTGGAACGGCTGATGTGGGCGTTGTCATTGTTTGTCTCAACATTTGCGTTTGAATAGCGCACGTCCTCCGTGGGCGTGTCAGATTAACGCGTAATGAAGTGTAATGAGCAGGGGAAAAAAATTCTGACAGCACTCTCTTTTCATACAGATTACATAAACTGAGAATATTTGTTTTTTATATAAATTACTTTATTGAAAAGAAGAGAATTCAAGCTTCATAAAGAAAAATCTCTCGTGCCTGTATTTGCAGAGTTAGAGTTAATTTTTCGGACGTGTTTCAGAATGGACTGCACTGACAGAGAGAAGGCAAAACTCGCATCATGTTTATTTTTCTTTATTTGACAAAAAGCACAAAACTTTGTTTTTATTCTGAGTATACAGAAAAATAATAGACAATTAACAGGATCGATTGATGTATAACACTTATATGTACGATCAAAATCAACAGAGTATTTTAAGTCTATTTTTCTGCTATGTGAAAAAAAAACGGCAAAACGCGCCGGCGCGTTTCTGGTCCCCAGAGGGTTAAGACCCTTGATCCTCACCTGACTATGGCTTTGTAAACTTTATCCATGATGTGGTTTATAATGGACTGTGGTACAGAAACAGTGACAATGTTACACACTCTTGGCTTACTCTGGCTATTCTCTGCTGTCTCAGACGACGATATGTTTGTCCCGTTTTAGCCACCATAGCTTCTTCGAAAGGGAGGGGTGAGCAGTGGGCTGAGCCCTTAGTGCAAACTCGCAACCGAACCGCTAGATGTCGCTAAAAATCACACACTGCACCTTTAAAGGTTCGTTTACCCAAACATGGAAATACTGTCATCAATTACTCATGTTGTTCCAAACCCATAAGACTTATTTTTGACTGAATGGTACGAAACTTGGTAAAGGTTTTGCCACTTGTTATGTAAATACTTAAATTTAATTTTAAAATACTTAAAATCTCATAGTTTTAAAGTAAAACATGTTTTGGAAAATATATATTTCATATAAATATCGAAAATAGTATATTTGTGCATTTTTCATTACAATACACTTCTATAACTTTTTTTGTTAACTTTTTTATATGTCAGCAATAATCTGCTAACTATTGTAAAGTCCGGCTCGATTGGTCCAAATGCGGCATCCAATCAGCGGAAGAAGGTTACTCTGCGTATTTCTTGCCTTTCCTTTCACGCAACACAACAAGATTAAATGCAATATATTTTCTCATATGTATTGACTCGTTAATTCATCTGACTCCATAAAATGAATAGGTTTTAATGATATCTGTGCATCATTAAACGTTAGCGAATGTTTGATTATTCTTTTCAACACTGATTTTAGTTTATCCGCAATCAGGAAACTATATCGCTCAGCAGTCCTTCTCCGAAGGCCGCACGACACACTCCTGTCAGTTCCAATAACCAATTCAGAGGTAATTTGACTAAATATCTAGGATCTGCCGTATTCACACGTACAATCAAAGATATATATACAAGTCCCCTTGAACGCCTCCTCTAGAAATTAAATTAATGTATTACTTTAGTAGGGACGATTGACCACCATAAAAGGAAACAGTTCATCAACTCAACTTCTCTTAAGATGGCTTCAGGTCAAGCCCGTGGTCTGTAAACCACGCACGTTTATCCAAAGTAATCACTAACTTAAAACAGTGGATATGGACACACCCAAACCTAGGTTGATTAAAACAGCGTTTGCTGATTCTAGTCGGAAATAACTTGCCCCCTCGTTCAAGTACACGTAAAATGGTATCGGAATATTAGCCGTCGCTAAACTGACGCGAAAGATGTGGAAATATACGAATCCAATAATCTAGGGAATAAACAGTCTTTCAGAGTCACTCAGAATAAAATCAAACGTTTACAATTTATTGATCAGGTAATGAAGCAATAATTCAAAATCCAATTCAAAAGGATAAAATCGTCAGTTAAACATTTCATCACAATGATTCCGAAATCACAGAATTTGTAGTAATTATTACCTGTCAATAGAGTTACACACAGCGATTGTGCGGGCAGTCAACCTACAGACTCCCCGAACTTTTCTGCTCGTTTTCCTTATATACCCAGATAATTCAATTGTTACCAAATGGTGATGTCTGTCATTATAATTAGATTTTGGTTGTCTATTCAGGGGCTCACACTGTGAGGTCTGCCTGATTTTACATACAGGAGGTAGTTTGAATGAGGCTATTATGGGACACATCACTTTTCTCACATTTCATAACTTCTTTTAGCTTTTCATCATAGTTGGGAGAATGAGACAATGTCACCAGGCGCATTGTGACACATTAAAAGACACCAAACATGAGTAGTTACATTTTCGTACACACATAACATTGCATAAGGTTTCAGTGTATTTCAGGTGAGGAGGAGGGGGATGTGGGGGAGATAGTGTGTGGGTGAAGTGTGAACTGCACTGTGTGCTGCGTCTCCAAAGTTCCTGTTACATATGCAAGAGGGAGTTACATATTCAAGAGATAGTTCAAGTGTTAATTCCTAGGAGGGCCTTTTGTCACATTGAGGGGTCGATCAGACATACCGGCACCAGCCTTACAGCTCCCTCCTTTGGCACCGTGGGCCACTCACAGGGTTTCCTGCGGTGTCACTTCAGTCTTTGTAAGGTGGGCAGCTTCAAGGGGCTGAGAGTTAAGATGGTGTTGGTGGATGCTTTTACTGATCTGATGAGGTGTCGGAAGTAGCAACATTGGAATAGCGTGAAGGAGAAGATGAGTGCGCTTCCAACCGCACAACCTCGAAGTACCCAGTCCCACCAGGTGTATGCAGTCTGTGCCGATCGAGTAGATGAGCTAGACAGGATCTGTGCAGTCTTTCGCGCCAAGTTCGTCTCCACTTGCGCTTGAGAGAGGTGGTACTCTTTTTGGAGGACGATGTTCTGTACCAAGTCCATCGTGTCGACCAAAGCTTGTGTTCCGTGTTCATAAAAGGTGTCGTCCCACCATGGAGAGACCTCTGCGTCCTTTGGCATCCTTCCGAGGATGTCAATCTGGCCCATAGAAAAGTCCTCTGTCACTTCCAAGCAAAAGGAGTGATTAGCAGGACAGGTCAGTCCTCCATATGTGAACGAATTCATCTCACTGATGATGCACCACTGTGTATGAGACACCTGAACAGCATTTGAATGGCCATGCAACGATTCAACATTTATGAGTTTGCTATCATTGGAGGAGAAAGGCTGTAATGTGTTACATGTACAGACAACATAATTGTGAGTTTCATGACAACAAGTGCGACTGGTAAACAAGGTCTCAGTACCCTTCAAAGTCATATATCCCGTGAGGTGATCCCATTTAATTACCTGATCTTTAACTACCATGCCAATAGAGCGAATAGTAGTGGAATTTGGATAAACTTGATCTGGGTGTATTAAAGGAAAAGTGGCAAAAAATCCAATGCAACCAATACATTCGTTTCCAGTATACATCATAATTGTGGATAACAGTTCTGAATATTTGACATTTTTAATTTTTTCTGAAGAGAACCATCTATGCAAATCTAAAACTTCAATTAAATCATTTAAAACATGTCTAGGGGTCTGGTGAAGGCGAAGATCTAAAATTTCTTGTCTTGTGGCAGTGAATAAATCTTGTGCATATGATCTACAGGCTAAGTCACGTTCGATGGTACGGGTCTGATTGAACAATGTGTGGCTGATCGTCAGAAGCGCCTGCGCCTCAGAACGAACCGCTTTGATAATGTTATCATTGCTATTGGTGAGGTGTTGGAAACCAGTGGCCATCTGGTCTGTCAACCATGTGGAGAATTGGGATTGTTTCGTTATTTTGTAGGTGTTGGCTGCTGAATTAATTGATCCAAACAAGCCGGCCATACTGCTGAGCAGGTCTCGTTTTGAGCGAGTAGGTGGAATTTGGACGGCAAGTCTGTCTTTGTAATCAGAAATTAAATCATCGATTCATGACTGTAGCCATGCATATGACTCATCATTAATATTACAGTGTTTTGTATAGGCAGAAAGTATGTTGGAAATGTTGTAAGTTACGTGTGTCATTACCAAATTTACGTCATGTAACAAAGTTTTGTTGATGTTTCCTCTAATCAGTCCGCCAGGAGGAATTGGGTGTAATTCTGGACAAATTTTGGGTTTAGTGTACCCGCAGGTGGTCAAATTAAAACAATACATAACAGTCCAAGAACAGTTGTGTGGATTGGTGAACTTGTCTATGCTATGTGTACATTCTCCGACACAATACGTTCCTTCTTTTCGGTTGGTCCACACAAAAGTTTTTGGCTTCGGCTCGTTAGGTGTGCACGATGTGAGATCGTACATTAACTCTTTGAATCTTATATGTGTGTCATTATGTGTTTCTGTATGTGTGCACCTATATGTTGCAGGTTCCTAATGTTTAACATAATAGCATAATTTTGGGTCTGTGCCATTATTGTTGTTTTCGTGTAGAGTGTACATGCTGCCTATTGTGTCACCTGGATCTATTTTAAGCTGATACCAGGCAGTGAGGTTGTGCATGAATTTTGGTGCTCTAGTGTATCCTGAAATGTTTCCGGTAGGTGGGTGGGTGCTACCTGTACTACAGCAGATTTTTGGTGTGCAATTTGGATCCGGTACTATACCGGGAGGCCATGTAGCTGTCTCTTTGGGTGCGACTGTGATTTTTGGTGTGAAAGGCCCCTTGGAATATTTCCACACCCACCTCCCACATTTCAGGTTGTGTGCGAGTGAAACCCTTTGGCCCAGTCTGATGCACGTGGGCCCGGACACTTTCCTTTCATCCGGCCTCCATGGGATCGCTGCAGTCGACCTGGAAGGCAAGAAGAAAAGTTAGTGACAGTTATTCATTTATTCTGTGTACCTTTAAATGACTTGCACTGAGACATGTGATACCATCGCAGTTTCCCTTTTATGGTTGTAGCCACACAGCTGTTGCATACAGCCTTAATTTCATACGGGCCATGCCATCTGGGTGTGAACGCACCTTGCTTCACAAAAACACGTATCATTACCATGTCTCCCTCTGAGAACTTCACCTCAGAGTTTGGGTTGAATTGTGCATCATTTGTTAGGTCTGACTGCTGCTGTTTCAGAGCAGTGTGTGCATGTAGCACTTCCAGCCTCTCTCGTAGTTGCTTTAACACAGATTGTTGAGTTGCAATCACGAGAGGCCCCAGGTCTGCTGGGGTAATTTCTGGGTCAATGGGCAGTTTCATGACTCTTCCAGTCATGAGTTCGAATGGACTGATACCTGTGGCTTTTGAAGGGGTTGCCCGCAGTACAGTTAGGACTGTGGGTAGGGCATCAATCCATTGGTTTCTGTGTTGCGCAACCTGTTTTGAGATGCTTTCTTTTATGGTGCGGTTAACACGTTCCACCATACCAGAGCTCTGCGGCCTGTATGAAACATGGAATCTTTGTTTGATGTTCAGCATCTGGCATATGTTTTTCATCACCTGACCTGTGAAGTGTGTGCCCTGGTCAGATTCAATTTGGATTGGTGCTCCCCAGAGTGGGAGAATTTGGTTCGCTAACACACGTGCCACTGTGTTTGCACTGTTATTGCGAGTAGGAATTGCTTCAACCCATTTGGAGAATTTGTCAATTATTACAAGGCAATAACGATACCCCCCTTTGGCACTGGGTAGTGGGCCTATAAAATCCAATTGAAGTGACTCCCAAGGTCCTTTGGGTGGCTCTGGTCTACACAGCTTTGTACGGCCAGGCTTACCTTGGTTGATGATGGCACATACGATGCATGTGTCACACCACCTTTGAATGTCTGATGCCATTTGTGGCCACCAGAAATTATTTTGTATCAGCTATTGTGTTTTTGGAGCGGATACGTGTGCATACTCGTGGTACAACTTTATCACTGGTTTCTGGAGGGCTTCTGGAACAATGTATTTATCGTCTCTCAAAACCATGCCTTCAGTGACCTTGACTAGCTGGTCCTGCTGCAGGTGCGGTGTCAGCTCTCCATCAGAACTCCACAGTTCTTGTTGGTACTGTTTCAAGTCAACAGGAACAGTCTGAACCGCACTCACACCAGGAACAATCAATCTGTCAAGCTGCCATACATCTCCCTTTTGTGCTGCTAATTTTGCTAATTGATCTGCAATGTTGTTGTTTTTCTCATGCTCATCGGGATTCTTGTTAATGTGCGCGCGCACTTTGACAACGGAGAGTGAAGAATCGCGTGTTTTAATCTCCTGCCAAATCAAAGTTATGATGTTAAAATGTTTTATTGGCGTTCCGGCAGACGTGAGGAATTTTCTCAACTGCCACTGAGCCATAAAATCATGGACAGCACCAAAAGCGTATCGACTATCGGTGTATACACACAGCGGTTCGTGATGTGATCTGATCGCTTCAAGTAATGCAATGAGTTCAGCTTCTTGCGCAGATGTGTTTTCGGATAGTTTGATTAGCAATTGGTTAGTGTCTGAATTGGGAGAGTGAGGAGCCCACACCGCACAACCTGTGTGGAATTTGCCATCATGCCAGTATCGGGAACCATCAATGTACACCTGTGTCTGATTTGGAAGTTCCTGGTCATGAACCGGGCTCTGTGCTTCCTGTTTAGGTTGGCATGTGTGTGGATGGCCCTCTACATCTCCCAATAAGTGAGGCAATATTCTGTCGTTAACTGTCGTGATGTCACGTGCCTGTATGTCTGCTAGCCATCTTGCTAACCTTTGCGACGACACACCTTTTATTCGACCCTGCAACAACATCTGTACTGGTGTGTGCACTGTGTGCACAACGATAGGTTGAAAACCTACAATCGGTTCAGTTGCTGTCAACATCCAGTGAACCGCCAGCACGTGCTGAGTGCATGGGTCGAATCCCTGTTCAATCGTGGACTTTTTTCGGCTGTAATAGGCGATCGGACCCAATTTTCCCCCATGATCCTGAGCTAACACGCCACTCAAAGTGTTTTCATTTGCGTCCACCTGTAAGTGGAAGGCTCTTTTAGGGTTGGGCAGGCCGAGTGCGGGGGCACAACACAAGTTTTCTTTTAGATTTGTGAAGGCTTTTTCGTGTTCCTCTGACCATTCGAGGACGTCAGAAGGCTTTGATTTTCCTTTTAAGAGGGAATATAATGGCGTGACGACGTTTGCAAAATCTGGAATGAAGTCTCTTAAGTAGTTAGCTGTTCCCAGCACTTTCTGTAAGGAGTTTAGCGTGTGTGGTCGGGGAAGTTCAGCAATGCATTTCCGCCTATCATCTGTTAGAGCTCGGTGGCTTTGCGTAATCGTGTAACCCAGGTACTGGACCTCGTTTTGTGCGATTTGCGCTTTTTCTTTGTTTAATTTGAAACCAGCTTTACCGAGTGTTAACAGTACTTCGTCGACGAGTATCAAATGATCATCAAATGATCCCTCGGTCGCGATAAGTATATCGTCAACATAATGGATCACGTTTCCGGTCCCTGTCAATGGATTGAGCGTGTCTTCTAATGCTCTGTGAAAAATCGCAGGACTGTTATGGAGGCCTTGTGGCATTCGCTCCCAAGTGTACTAGATTTGATCCACAGTGAAGGCCAATTTCCACTGATCAGCGCGTTTGATTGGGATGGACCAGAAACCGTTCTTTACGTCGAGCTCTGTAAACCAGGACGCTTGTGTTGAAATCTGTGATAATAACGTCGATGGATTTGCCACTATAGGTGTCGCCTTGGGCAAAACTTTGTTGAGACGCTGATAATCAATACAAAGACGCCATTTACCATTCGATTTTGGTACTGGTAAACACGGAGAGTTAGTGGTCGAGTTACATCGATGAACTATTCCTCTAATTTCAAGTTGCTGTACAATTTCATGAACAGCTGACTCGGCCTCTGGCGGTATTGTTTTTGTGGGGGAGGGGGCTCCCCCTCAATGCACACAACAAAATCAATGAGGCCGCAGTCATGTTCATGCGTGGCCCAAATTTGATCGTGTTTGTTTGCCATCTGTTGAATGGGATCTGGGGTGGAAATGGACATAATGCTCATTGTGTTTTTTGGTAATCACATTTTTACTGTTCTGTCTGTTTTCAATTCAATTTGCTTTTCAAAGCAGTGAATTACAAAGCCATACTTTCGCATAATGTCCATTCCCAGTACAGTCCCTTCACTGTTATTAGGTAAATACCAGAGGGGTTCTTTCAATACGGTCACGCCTAAATCAAGTTGAATTGGCTGTGTTTTTGTCGCAATCATTAACGTGTCGCCGATGCCTTTTATCTGAATAGTTTCGTTGGTTAAAGGAAATGGAATGTCTGTACAGGAGCAAGATGCGCCAGAATCAATAAGTACGTCCGCTAACCGGCCTCCTAAATTAGCTCTTATTTTAATTCGGTTTCCACTCTTAATTATGCTCCCTACGGCGATGGAGGCCACGTGTCCCTATTGTTGTTGATATTTTTCAGTCGTTCCGCTCATGTTGTGGGCGCCATTTTGACCTTTTTGTTTTTGAAACTCGGTGATGAAATCAGCGAATTGTTTGTACAGGTTAGAGTCGTGGTTAGAGGGCGGTTTTTGGCAATGATTTCCCTGTTCTTTCTCTAAATCTTTATTTCTTCTCACGCAATCTCTCATGAAATGGCCATGCCTTTTGCAATAGTGGCATTGCGGTTTGCTTGGAGATCTTTGGTGAAATTTGTCTGAGCTGTTCCCTTCTGTTAACCATTGTGCGGACGCAACGCTATGGGGTTTTGATTTCCATCTGTTTTCTATTCTTGATCCCCAGTCTACTATTGCTCTGAACGTGTTTTCGGCCGGATCGACACCATTTGATAAAGCCTTTTGAACTGGGAGGCCTGCATTGTTCTTCACAATTTGTAATAACGCGTCATGGTTGCGGTCTACATCCTCTAGGCCCGAGTGTTCTCTGTATGTCACCCATAATCGTTCAGCATACGTTTCAAATGACTCATTATTCGCTTGTTTGATTTCTAATATTTTGCTCCAATCTGCATGTGTCGGTCCCCT